TATCTATCTATCTATCTATCTATCTATCTATCTATCTATCTATCATTTTCCCTCTCTCTGTCTCTTTGTATCTTTCTCTCTCTCTATCTCTCTCTCTCTATCTCTATCTCTCTCTCTTTCTCTCTCTATTTCCCTCTGTATTCCACACTAGGTAACCCCCTTCTCAAAAAGGCACTGAATAAATAAAAAATGCAACATCCTTTGAACCCTGTGGACCGATTTTCAATAATTCATGATATAACGTTGAGTCGTTTCCAAGACTAGAATGCTATTTCCAGTTGTTTGTTTGTTTGGGGTGTTTTTTTGCTTGTTTTTTTTTTGTTTTTTGCTTTGCTTTTTTTCCCCCTTAAAATCTTATTTTGCTTTTCCCATTCCTTCTTCTCGGCCTATAAAGCTTTATTCTACATCCGATTGGTCATAAAAGGTTGTACCTCGACACGCTCCAACGTATTTCATAGCCGCTTCCAATACTTCCGGCTTCTGGCCCAGCCTCTTAGAGAAGGCTTTAAAGAGTAATCCGTGAGCAGTCCCTTGGGTCGAAGAACAGGCAGTTTAACGAAACACAATCAAAGACAGTCATAGAAGGAGAGTTTCCAAGAACCTCCGCACGCATAATAGCTATTGAAACCCCCGGTGGTGGGCATAATAGAACAGAAACATTATTTGCTCGGGAAAGCGCTGCGTACGCCAATGACGTGATTCGAGGCCGGACGACAAAAGACTATTAAACAAAAGCCTTTGATGCCGTTCTTCCAAATTATCCCAGAGGGGGGAAAGGCGTCGGGCCTGAGTTCCTGAAAAACACAACAGGGCAGATGGAAGGTTCCCAGGCCCGGGTCTCCGACTCCAGGGAAAGCTTTCCACCCGTGTCTACGATCTGTGGAGATCAAGGTACTTTAAAGAAGAAAAAATAGGGGGAAAAAATCAAAGAAAAAAAGACCACAAAAAAAACAAGAAACGCGTGCGCGTGAAAGCGAGTCAAATGTTTCATACTTGTACCGCCTTTATCGATGAGGGGTATTGACCTAATGACAAATGGCGGGAACCCTTTGGTTGAGGTCGCGGTGTTCTTCGGAGTGGTTTTGTTTACGAGCGCTCACTCACCCTTGGAGTAACTCCGCGGCTTTTTGAGTTACTTCTCATTGGTTCATTTGACTGGTGCTGCTTGAAGGTTGTCACTAACAAGGCATTAAAATTCATTTAATTAATCTCTAATAGGTTTCGAGGAGCTTATACCGAGTGTCTGTGGTTATGGTTTATAGCAGATATCGTTAATTGTAAAAAGGAACTTGTTAAACGGACACACACACACACACACACACACACACACAT